CCCCTCCAAATTGGTTGTGTAATGCATATTTTAATTTTCAAGATTGACCACCCTTCAAGTTGGTCGTCTATTGCATATTTAATTTTAGGGCTGGTCGCCTTCCAAGTTGGTCGTGTAATGCATATTTAATTTTTCAAGGTTGGCCGCCCTTCAAGTTAGCTATGTACTACATATTTAATATTTTTCTCGGGGTTGGCCGCCCTCCAAGTTGGCTATGTAATGCATATTTAATTTTTCGGAGTCGGCCGCCCTCCAAGTTGGCCATGTATTGCATATTTAATTTTTTCGCAGTATTGTATAGTTAATTCTCTTGTATTGCACGTTTTATTTTCGGGACAAGTTGCCATTTGATAACAAACCCACATATCGCATGTTTAACTTTTAGGGTTGGTCGCCCTTAACAATAAGGCCATTGCACTCTGTTTCCATAGTCATTGCATTCCTACGGACATTCCATCCTCAACTAGGTCATTTTTATAAATCTTAATTTATTTTTCTCATATTGTTTTCTTTGCAAGCTCACTAAAACAAACTCAACCTAAAATTCACATTTCGGCTAACATTTACATCGTAAACAATGCAAAGAGGGGCAACTTGTCATAACCAAAATTTCAAGGTTTTTATTTTTACTTGGTTATTTTTTTTCTTTTATTTCATTTTAAGTTTTTATTTCATTTTTTTTATCTTAATTTTTTTCTTTCATTTTACGTAGTAATTAAAAAAAAATACAAAATACAAAAATAATTTGAATTTAATATTCAAGGATGCAATTGCATTAAATGTAAAATAATTACATTAATTGGGGGTACAATCAAATCATTCAAAGTTTAGGGCTCGGATTACATTGGATAGGGACCAAGTTGACCTAATAATAATTTATAGGGACCAAAATGGCAAAATCATAAAAAATCAAAGGAAAGAAAAATTGTACAATAGCAGAGGAGTGGGCGACCGGTTGCCCACTCCTCGCCTAGAACTAGTTTCTAGGATTTAGGAAATCCTACTTACCCTTGAACCGAGCTTTGGTTCTAGTTATAACAATCCTGTTTCATTGGGAACCAAGTTTCACCCTTGAATTTTAGTCTCGGCAAACTCATCGCCCCAATTCCCTCAACTTGCGACCCACAATCTTTCCTCCATGGTCAACAATATCGGCACCCCCTCACTTACCGTAACTCCTACAGGCACCACCCTATCCCATAAACTCCAATCAACAATATCAACACCCCCCACTCGCCGACCTCTCTTGCAGCTCATAAAACTCCATTGACGGCATCCTCTACTGACCACACCTATTGTTAGGAGCCGTCCCGCCATAGCCCACAACTCGGTCTCATCCAACCCTCTCACTTGACAATCCCGCGAAGAAAAAATCTTACACTATCATGGTGGAGAACCAAGCATTCATAGACATATATATGCACAAGCAAACACACAAAAAGGAGGGGAGTTAGGTCTGAAAATTAAAGAAAATGATCCAAAAAAAAATCGACAATATACAAAAAAAGAGAGAAAAATCCGAAAAGAAAAGGAGAGAAAAGAGAGATTGAATTTACCCGGAACTCGAGTCGCATCTCACTTTAATTAGTCGGCTTCTAGTAATCCTTTTTTAATTTTCCTAATTTGTTTTTGCTATGAATTTAAATTCCGAGTTGAATTTAGGGCTTTTTAAATATGGTTTGAAATCAAGGTTGAAAACACTAATTAAGTTTAATTGAGGTCAATTAAAGTTTCAATTTGGGGTTTAAAACCCAAATTGAAGTCGAACTAACTTCAATTTAAACCTAAGGTTCCCGAGTATTTTTGAACAAAATTCAATTGAGGGTTTTTAAGAAATTGGATCTATAAAAGTGTGAATTAACTTGATTTCAAAGGAAATCAAGCCAATTAGGCTTAATTGAAAGGAAAAAAAGAAATTGAAAAACTAAGTTTTCAGCTAAAATTGGGGAAGAACTTTGAGAAATTGATTTAGGGGATTTTAGATAGGAGGAAATGAAGGAAGAGAAAGAAGGGAAAAGGAAGGAAAGAAAAGGGAAACATGGATGAACCCGTTCGGTTCATCCATGGCGATTCGGTAGAAAAAGAAAGAAGAAAAAAAGAGAAGAAGGAGGATAAGAGGATTCGAGAAAGAAAAGAGAAGAAGAAAGAGAGAAAGGGAAAGAAAAAGAAAGAGGAGAGAAAGAGAAGGGGGACAGACCATGATTGGTTCGTCCATGGAGAGGAGCAATCGGCTAGGAGGGAAGAAGAAGGAGAGGAAAGAAAAAGAAAGAAACGGGAAAAAGAGAGAGAAAAGAAAGGAAAAAAGGGCTTTTGATCTAAAATCCTTAAAAATTAGATTTAGGTTTTGTTTTTTAGGCTTAGTTTTTTATTATTATTCATGATGTGTGGGTTGGGCTTAGCCCAACCCACTTGTGATAGAGCTGGACTATCCAGACTCGAAATTTTCCTTTAGGTGGGTCGGACAGTCTAGCCCGAATTCTTCAAAAAGAAAAAAAAAGAGAAAGAAAAAAAATGTGTTTCTTAGTTTTAAAATTCAAATTTATGTATGTTTGTTATTTTTTTATTTAGATGTTGAATTGTCTTTAATTATTTAGTTAATGTAATTTTAATTCTAAGTTTATTTATGCAACTTAGTTAGTTTATATTAATTTAGAATTTTTATTGTAATATTTTGCAATTGTTTTAATTTAACCTTGAATTTATTTGATGCATGTTCATTATTGATTTAAAATTTAATATTTAAATTTTCTTTACTTAATTAATGTAGCTTAGTGTATTTGTTTAGTAATTAGGTTCGAGTAGGTAATGGGTGGAGGACTCGTCAAGTCTCCTAATTCTTTACGGATGGATGACAATCTTCCAATAAATAAATAAATAAAATAAAAAATGAAAAATGAAAGAGAAAGAACATAAAAAAATAAAAATAAAAATCATAAAACTTTTAACAAAATCTCATATTTGATAGGGACGTTGTTAGCCAAAAAATTCATTTTTAATAAACAAATGTTCTTTGACACACCGGTTGTGTCGAGACTCAAAATGTAGATCCGATGTTTGAATCGACATGTCTCCCAACGAAAGGGGTCCAACGATCGTTTCAACACGATGTCATGCTCAAAAATAAAAAACTTAATTTGACTTAGAAAATTGGAGTTTCAAAATTGAAAAAAAAATGATTTGGCAAAAATAAAATACTTTAGGAGATAAATTTAGGATTAAGCTAGACATGGTACCTTTCTTAAGAAAGGGCGCTTTTGGGTAATCAAATATCTTTCCAAAAGCGTAACCAAGTCCTTATCCTAGAATCTACGAACCGAGTGTCATTTTTAGGTTCCTAGTTCCTTTAATACTAGGTAGCAACTCCAAACTCGTAAATAATTCAACGAATAAAAATAAATCTTAAACTAAGAGATTTTTTATTTTGGAGAGTCTCATCCGACTTCGGGTAGTGACAATCCTCATACTATGTGGAGGGCTCGACTGGAGGATCGATTGGAGGTTGAACTAGAGGTCGAGTGGAAGGAACGATCAAATCATTATGCATTTTATCTTATTTCAATTTTAATAATTAAACTAATAAAATTACTTGTAAAATTTACATTTGAAATGACTAAACTATGTAAAAAATTATATAATTTCAAAATTAAGTTTAAACAAACAACTAACCAAATTAACCTAACACTAAAAACAAACAAATATATAATTAATTAACTTAATTAAAATAATAATTTGAGATTAAATAATTAAATTTTAATCTAACAACTAAAAATTAACAAAATTTAAATTTTTAAGATTTACTTTAACATACAAATTAACCTAACAATTAACATAAAAACAAAATAAAACTTAACAAAATTAATCTAACGAGTTATAAAAATAAAATAACAACTAACAAATTTAAGCTACTACATACAACTTAACATAACAAAAAATTAACCTAACAAGATAATTAACAACATTCAAACAATTAATAAATAAACAATTAACAAAATTTAACTAAAAATTTATAACAATTATTAATTTTTTAAAAAAACATAAGAGTTAGAAAGAGAAAGTTTTACTCGATAGATCAAGGATAGAGAACATAGATCTAATTTGATTTTGAGGGAGAAAGATACCCCTCATTTTCTTGAACAGTTTTGAAAAAGATTTAGTGGCATGGGGCGAGTGGGTGGGCATTTTTTGTGGGTGGTGGCGGAAGAGGAGGTGTGTTGGAGGTGAGGGAAGCAAATGGAGAAGAAGACGAAGGGGGTATATATAAAAGCAAAATAGCGATAGACTCGATTCCATCTCTAATTTGGGGGGAAATTTCTCTCAAATTTCTGAAGTTTAGCGACGGACGTTGCTAAACATCGGTGAGGTAGCGATGGACTTCAAGTCCGTCGCTACGGGTTGAGCCTCAATCGGGTAGCAACGGACGTCGAGTCCGTCGCTAATTTTAGAGACGGATTCCAAAATTCGTCGCGACTTTGGGCCATTTTGGAGGAATTTTTCCATAAAAAAGACATAAATTAGTGACGAAAATCCATTGCTAACTTTGGGCCATTTTGAGGGAATTTATCCTAAAAATAGGCACTAATTAGCGATGGATCTCAAAATCCGTAGCTAACTTTGGGTTATTTTGGGGGAATTTCTCCCCAAAAAAGGCACAAAGTAGCGATGGACTTGATGTCCGTTTCTAACTTCACTATATTTCAAAAATTTTAGCGACGAAAAAAATTTCATCGCTAATTTTTCCATTTAACGACTACAAAGCCATCGCTATTTTGGTCATTTTTTCCCCGCCTTATTTAACAACAGATTTTTTATCGTCGCTAATTATCTCTCATTAGTATATCGTTAATCCATCACAAAACACAACCTTTAATAGTCCGTCTCTAATCTGTCGCTAATTTTTTTGTAAATAGCGATGGATTTTATTGATATTTTTCTGGTAGTGCAAGGAAAAAAAAGAACTATTGGAAAATAAAATCACATAATTACGCAATGGGTAATTAAACTCACATAGATGCTCCAACATTCATGAGATGGCCACAATGGTATTTTATCCTTTCTAAATCAACCTGGGTCTCCTTTGGTGATTTATCCGTGCCAATGGCTTCACCGTAGCCTGAATAGAGAAAAAATATGAAATCAAGAATTGATGAGTTCCAGAAATATAACTTTGACTAGCTTTGACTACTAAAGTTTTTTTTTTTTTTTTTTTTTTTGGTGGTTTCGCGCCGCGGGGGTGGGGGGTGGTTTAATACCATTCTTAGTGATGTAAATTTCAAATATTTTGCATTGTATGTGGCATTGATGTAATTCAAAATATTTTGCATCCCCTCTGGATAGATATACTGCCATTTTGCACCAGCTTGCAATTTCAAATGATAAAATTAGTTCTTAGTTTCAGTTATCTAAAGAATTAATTACCTTTGTCGGCTTCTGTTTTGGACGTTGCATCTTGTATTTCGAAAAATTACAATTTTTATCCTAAGATTAATGGAGTTAATATTTCCTGTTCGGAAATTTTAAAAATCTTAAAATATTCATGTTTTAAAAAAAGTTAGAAAGTATTGCACTTATCTAAAACATTTTTTTTGCAGAGAAGTAAAATGAAAAAAAAATGATGGAAAATATAAGATTTTTCAAAATAGAGAGTGTAAAGTGAAATAACATCCAACATAGAGGATGGTAAAAATAATTAACACTCATATCAAAAACATTTCTTTTAAATTACATATTATTCTCATAGAAACCTGTGGACTAATAGGGACTCCATCTCGTTCTCCTGAAAATTATTAACAAATAAAAAAGGTTAAATTTAACAATCCACTTGGGAGATAATTTTTGAACCAAAATGTAATTCAAATTAAAAATTGTTTAACTTTAATACCCTAACCTAGACTTCCCCGGTTTTTTTTTTTTTTATAAAAAAAATAATTGAACTCGTAATCTTTCCTTAAAGAGAATGTTACTGCCATTGAAACTACCGTTCCATTGGTGGCCAAGATTTTTCTTACTTCAAGACCTTCTTTTTTTTAATGTTTAAAAATATATTAATCAAGAGTAAATTTACTATTTTTTTAGAATTCGATCAAGTCTAACTTTTAGTCTATTATAAAAACAGATTTTTTGAGCCTCTTGTCTAATATCATATAAAATAGAGAAAACATTTCTACGAGTAAGAATTTTAGTTTTTTTTTTTAAAAAAAAATAACAGAATCGGAAACATTCCTTTTACTGCTCTATTTACACTAACTCTTATTTCAAGACCTTATAACAACTATTTTGTTTTGTTGGCATTCCATTAGAAAGTGAAGATCTAATCCGGAAAACCTATATTGTCACTTTAGCACTAAAAATTGTCAGGTTAACCACTCGGATGTAAAAGTAAATAGTTAGTTAACCTATAAGAGGCCGTATAGTAGTTATAGAATTTGTGGAATTAACCTAAGTGGCCATTACACAACAATTTTTATCGATTTGGTCCATGGCTATAATGAAGATTCTTTCCCCTTTTTCCTTTTTTGGTCTCTCTTATTGATATATTATTATAATACTTCATGAGCTTGCCTGTGATGTAGGAATTAGAATCTGTTAGATATCTACGATGCTCTGGATCAGAAGCATTAGCATTTCCTGCATAATATGCAGTATAGTAATTTAATCCAAGAAAGTCATAAGATCCATTTAGAGACGCAGAATCCTCTGTAGAGAAATTTGGTAATCTATCTTGAAGCAAGTCTCTCATGCTGTCCGGATAGTGACCATATGTTATAGGATTCATGAACCTACAAACATGACATGGTGTAAAAATTCTACTGCATGATTGATTGAAGTAATTAATGAAAAAAAATACAAGGTCTAGGAGCTTATGTTTGATGAAATACATACCAACCAAGATTGAAATCATGAGTTCTTTGGGTAGCATTAATGTCATCAGTGCTGTTAGAGTATGGTTCATACCAACGAGCATTGAGTGTTATCCCAATCTGCCCATTCTGAGATGCCTACATAGTAAATAAACAAAACATATCATCCATATTATGATTGATTTTATGTGGGATATGTTCTCTAATAGGATAGATTAAATAAAAGTATACATTGAGTGGATACCTGGTATTTTTCTCTATATAGTTGTACTGCTGCTGCATGAGAAAGGAGAAGATGATGGGCAACTAGGTAAGGCTCAGTGGCAGAGTCTCCATTTTTGCAGTACGTTTCATTAATCCATGGGGAGCATCGACCTGGTGCAAATTCACCGACATCATAGCCAGAGCTAGTGTACTTCTGTGGCTCATTTAAAGTAATCCAATGCTTCACTCGGTCACCGAACTCCTTGAAGCAAAGATCAGCAAAATCTCGGAAATCACTCCTATAAATAAGAAGAAACAAAAAAATATATATGTTACAATTTCATATCCTAATATTTGCCAATAAATAAAGTTTGACTACTATTTGTGAAGATCTACAGTATATGTGTGTGTGTATATATATAATGCACAATGTGTGATAATAAGGTGAGAGCAGATAACTTACACTATATTATCACTTAGAAAGCTACCATACTTGTCATCCAGTGCTTGAGGAGTGTCCCAATGAAAGATAGTTACAAAAGGCTTTAAACCTGTGTGTTTTACAGTACAGAAAATGAGCCTAGTAATATTATGATTCAACTTTTTATAAAGTTTGACTACTATTTGGGAAGATGCATAATGTCTATTCTCGCTCCAATCAAATTAGATTTTTTATTTAACAAAAAAGGAAAATAATGATTTAAATTTTTATTCCCTTGGATTTTAGTTTCTTATTTTCAAATCAAATTCACAATTTTGAAATCTAGAAATTCTAAAATACTTGGTCACAAATATTCAATTCCTCTACAAAAAAAAATAAATAAATAAATAAATAAAAAATAATAATTATTATTTTTTTATTCCCTTGGAACCAGATTTGTTAACAAATTATTTTTTTAAGTTTCATGCAGAACATACACATGACTAAGATATGAGGAGAGAGAGAAGATTTAAACCTTTTGCTATGCTTGCATTGATGACCTTGTTGTAAAATTCAATTCCTTCTCTATTCACTCCAGCCCTTATTCTCCCATCTGATATAATAAGTTTTTTTTTTTCCCCTTGTTAGAAAACTACGGGTAAAAAAATTATAAATATAAATAAATGAACACACATGCACCATTTTAGTTCTAAAGAATACGTACGGGGAATTACTCTAGGCCAGGAGATAGAGAATCTGAAAGCATCCATGTTCATGTTCTTTATTGTTCGAACGTCACTCTGTCACATGCAGTCAATAAATGAAGAGTGTACGTAGGTTAATCGACCAATATTTTATGGATTATAAAGTAAATAAATTTGAAACATAGGAAATAAAACAACTAATAGCTACAAACTCAAAGGTTGAAAGAAGCTATATATGCTGCGTTATTTTAATGGAGAAAATAGCCTACCAATGGATGTCTAATATTCTCATTAATATTTTGTAGGTTTTATTTCTATGGAAACATGTCTTTAATTTAGAAATTTTTATTTGTATGCTATTTAGGAAAAAGAAATTTTGGATAAATGAATCAATTTACGTGGAAGACAGTTTATCATAATTCATCCTAAAGACAACGAAGTGCCATCTTCATCAAATTATACCTCATAGCGATTATAGAAGTCAATTCCCTGTTGGCCAGTGCTGCCATCAGCTATCCTCTCTGAATGTTGTAAACAAATAATTAATTTAGCTTTACATATTAGTTATTCATGCAAAGTATGTGCGTGTGTGTGTATATATATATATATATATACACAAACGATACTGTATATATATATATATATATGATACCGTGTTAATTAACATCAATCAAATAAAAAAAAATGATAATTAATATTCTTTGCAGCATGCACAATTAATTGAAGTACAGAAAATAAGAGAGAAACCTGGAAAGTCTTAAGTAAAAGTGTCCCATTTACTCGGACCTCTGCAACTTTGGTTTGGATGACCCTCGTACTTGAATACCATACACAAATTAAAACATATCAAAACTCTATATATAAAATGCATTGTATTATGATCTATAGGAAATCCCAAATATGTAATCTACTTGCATTGTAACTCTTAATTATAGCTAGCAACATCATTTTTTTGTATTAGGAGAGAGGGGGGGGGTGTGGGGGAGTGGATCCTACTTAATTAGGGAAATGATGAAAGCTTCAATGTAGCTACCTAGTAAGAGGACGCCGCTGTCCCTGAAAGATTGATGATGATCCAAGTTCATTCAGTATATATTTATAGGAGTTATAGAGTTCAAGTGTGTTTAATTACAAGTCTAGAGTTCCTTTTTAAAGAGACTTCCAGTTTAGTTAAGACTTCCAGTTTAGTTAAGAGTTCCTATGTCTAGGGACACTCACGGGAAGAATAACTACAAGAGGGAAGGATAAACACAAGTGGTGTTTATCCTTTATGTTTATCCATCCTTATCATCCTCCCTCAAGTTGAGCAACGGATTGTAGCTTCAACTTGTCACGTAATATAAGGAACTATCGCTTGGACAACACCTTGGTCGAATATCAGCAATTTGATCATTTGTTGAGATGAAGCTAATTATGAGTTTTTTCTTTTTTACCTTGTCCCCGACGAAGTGAAAGTCAACCTCCAAATGTTTACACCGAGCATGAAAGACTAAATTTGCTTGCAAGGTATGTGGCAGAGATGTTATCACACTATATGACGAGTGGCGTGTTGTTACAACACCTATTTCTCGCAAGAGGGATTTAATCAAAGTGACTTTAGACGCGGTGGTGGCTAAGGCACGATACTCTACATCTATAGATGAACGTGCAACCTTTTTCCGTATCCTCGAGCATCGGGATATATGGCGAATCCTATAGTGCTCTTCCCGTCATCTAAATCAATACTCCAATCGGCATCAATATAGGCATGTAAATGTAATGAGGCAGCCTAGCTTGAAACAAAGCCCATATTCGGATGTGGAACCCAAATAACGGAGAACCCTCTTGATTGCGGACCGGTAATCCATGGTTGAGGCATGCATGAATTGAGCTACCTTGTTTACTGCAAAGGATATATCCGGTCATGTTAAGGCAAGGTATCGAAGCCCTCTAACAATGATGGGGTATAATGTGGGATTGTCAAATGATGTTCCTTTCGTTATCAATTTGATAGAGGCATTGGTCGGCGTGGAAATGGAGCTAGCCTTATGTATCTTTGCCTCGTACAAGATGTCTTGAATGTATTTGGATTGAGTGAGGATCACTCCTCTCTTGCTCAAGTGAGCTTTAATGCCTAGGAACTAGGCAAGTTTACCAATATCCTTGATTGCAAACTATTGTTGGAGTTTTTTTTTTTTTTGAGATGTTGGATAAGGCAAGTCATTATTCCCAATTACAAGAATATCATCCACATAAATAAGGCAAGTAGATGATGTTAGTACCTTTTGTGTAAATGAAGAGAGAAATGTCCGATTAGGAGCCCTTAAATCCAAGCTTAACAAATTCATTGGAAAGACACTCATACCATGCTCTTGGAGCTTGCTTGAGGCCATACAAGGATTTTTTAAGAGCATAAACATGATTTGGAAAATTGGGATCAACATACCCTTTGGCTCGTTCCATGAAGACCAACTCCTCTAGAGTGCCATGTAGGAAAGCATTGGAGACATTTAGCTATCAGACTCGTCCAATCGTGTGTCACTACCAAGGAAAGTGCCAACCTTACCATTGTTGGTTTGATAACTAGGTTGATGGTATTATTGTAATCAATGCCTAGGCATTGGTGGAAGCCTTTAGCAACTAAGTATGCTTTAAACCGATCTAATGTCCCATCCTTGAATCGATTGATGCGATACACCAACTTATTTCCTATAACATTAGAGGCTTGATCATGTGGAACTAAAACCTAGGTACCATTTGAATGTAAAGTAGCCATTTTAGCATCTATGGCTTTGCACCATTCTAGATACTTACAAGCAGTAGAGTAGGTGGATGGTTTTATGGTGGCATGGATGTGGTATGTTTTTGGTTTGTCGTGACCAATTTGTGGCCTAGTTTTTATGAAGTGTGAGGGCTATTAAGTGTTCTGTTTTTGGTGGACGGTAGGGTAGCTAGTGAGGTTAACTTCTAGCTGAATAGGTGGGTACTCTCGGTTATGATGTGTTTATGTGTGCTTGGTGGGTAGTGTTTATTTTGTTATGGTGTGGGTCCGTGGTTGGTTGATTTGAGTCGGTGCTATGGTGAGAGGGTGAGAAAGCAATTGTTGGTTATGGTTGGCTAGGCATGCAGATTAGGTTGTGGTTGTATGGGCGTGTGGGTGACGCGAGGGCCGCTGGTTGTGGCCGGTTGGGCATGCGGATGGGCTTGTGATTGTATGGGTGTGTAGGCGAGGCAGCAGGCCGCTGGTTGTGGTCGGCTGGTCGTACGGATAGGCTCGTGGTAGTTTGGGCATGTGGACGAGGTAAACATCATAAGTTATGTTAAATAAATAAACAATAGATTAGTCAAATATAAAATTGAAAAATAATGGTCCACCACAATAATTAAATCTTTATAATAGAATTTAATCTCAATCATCTAACTCTATATGCCATCAAAAGTTTAACGGTCCAACAAAGATTTTAGAGTCAATCCACTTAAAAGACTTTAAAAGTTAAGCTACAAACTTAAGTTTTTTGGATAACAAAATTGAGTTTTCCAAGTGAGAAAATGTGGAGTAGTGAGTTTGATGGTAAATGTGTGATGAGTGATGGGTGTAACGGAATGGTTGGTGTTTATGGTGGAAACAATTGTTGCTACACGACGTCGACGGGACTCCCCAAGGAAATTAAATCTAAAATTATATTGGTATTTACAAGTTTATTTACGAGTGTTTGGAGTCGCCACCTAGTATTGAAGGAACTAGGAACCTAAAACAGATCAATCGGTTCGTAGATTCTATGGCAAGGAGTTGGTTACGCTTTTGGGAAGATATCGATCACCCAAAAGTGCCCTTTCCGAAGAAAGGTACCACGTCTAGTTTAGCTCTAAATTTATCTCCTAAAATATTTTATTTACGTCAAATTATTTTCTAATTTTTAAACTCTTATTTTTTTAAGACAAATTGAATTTTTTAGTTTTGGGTGTGGCATCATATTGAAACGATGGTTGGTCCCCTTCGTCGGGTGACACGTTGATTTAAACATCGGATCCACTTTAAGCCTTGACACAACCGGTGTGTCACAGGACATTTTGATTAAAAAACTGAATTTTCATGATGTCGGTCCCTATCAAATAGGAGACTTCAAAAAAAAATTTAGATGTTCTTTTTGGTGACGTTAGTCCCTACCGAATAGGAGACTTCGTCGAAAAAAGATATTTTTTATTTTTTATTTTTTAAAAAAATTAAAATTTTAATTAACTAAAATCAGCTAAAAAAATTTCAAAAAATTAAATATATCGAAATCATCGTCCGTCCCTAATAAATAGGAGACTCGTTGATCCAATATTTTAATCATAAAAGAAATCTCATGTTAAAATAAATTACACAACTATGTATCTTCAAATTTACTAACATACATATGGTAAAAAAAAAAAAAAGCTACAAAACACATAAAATAAATCAAACGAGTCCAAAATTCGCCTACATTGTAAAATTACAAAAATGCCCCTAGAATGCCAAGAGTCACTACCAAATGATCGTTCGCCTTTCGATGACCGTTCGAGTGCATGGACCACCCGACCTTGTAGATCCGATCATGGGGACTTCAATGGTGGTGGTTTCAACTAGAGACAACGCTAGAGGAGGGAGATCGAGCCTCCAAAGATCCGATCGGATCTTCTTTCTTCATCGACGATGAATTTGACATCGTCTCGGGATTTCAAGCACACCGGTCGACTCGCAAGGTTGAGAGAAGAAGTTCCGTGGTGGTTAGGACCTCCAATTCTTCCTAGATCGGCCAATTTTTCCGAGTTTACCAAAACGGATTGCAAACGAATCTTTTTCAATTTAATCGTTTTTTGATGTTGTTGGGTGACGATTGTTGAATGCAAACACTTAGAGAAGATGGGCGATCGGGTCCGTGATGGTAGATCATGTGTTAGTGACCGGATTTGAGAGAAATCGATCGGGTATTGTTTTGGATCGAGTCGAGTCCGGACCTTTGATCTTTAATTTCTCTCTCCTTTGTGATTGTTTCTCTCTCTAATTGGTGTTGATGGATCGATTTCGTGATGGGCTATATGTGGTCGTGGTGGTTAGGGTCAAAACTTATTAGAAAACGATCGGATTGAGAGTGAAAATTTCGATTGGGTGAACGGGTAATCGGGTTTGGATATTGGGTTATGGCATGTTTGGCAATTTGTTTTTCGATTTTCAATATATATATATTTTGTGTGTGTTTTTTTTAGCTCTCTAGCTGCATTTTTTTTATCATCCCCCTATCCTGCAAATTAGAATCCGAAAGCTTTTTATAGGCCGAAACCTCCTAAAACTTCTTCCAAAATCAATTCAAATTCAAATTTTAATTGTCAAATCTTTATTTTGAGATTTGATTAGCTAAAAATAAGGAGATTCTAATTCAAAAAAAAATTTGTGGAAGATTTCAATAGATTTTTGAATGATTTTAGGGAGATTTAATATTTTTTAATATATATATTTTTTTAAGGGAACCCAAAATTGGGTTATGACAATTGTCACCTCTTTACAATGCTTACGACGCAAATCTTAGTTGAAGTGTGAACTTCAGAATATATTTGTTTAGTGAGCTTGTAAAGAAATTCTTCTTTTTTTCTTTTTTTTTCTTTTTTTAACTAGAAAAATAAATATGCGAGTACACGAAAAATTCAGTACAAAGTACATAAAAAATAAAAGATTCGATACATGGCCTTGTTGTAAAGGGCAACCTACCCTAAAAATTAAACATGTAGTACGTGATCTTGTTGTAAAGGGTACCCTACCCTAAAAAATTAAACATGTCATGCGTGAACTTATTATAAAGGGCATACTATCCTAAAAATTAAATATGCAATGGTCTATTGTGAGGTGACCTTACCAAAAAGCATGATCTATTGTAAGGTGACCCTACCTAACATGATGATCTATTATTGGACGATCCTATCGAAATGATGGTCTATTATAAGACGACCCTACCAAAGTAAATGATCTATTATTAGGCGATCCTGCTCGAAAAAATGATTTATTATGAGGTGACCCTACCTAAGTGAACAAATCTATTATTAAGCGATCCCGCTCGAAATAATGGTCTATTTTAAGGCGACCACTGCCAAAGTAAATGATCTATTATTATGTGATCCTGCTCGAAAGAATAATCTATTGTGAGGTGACCCTACCTAAGTGAATGATCTATTATTAGGCAATTATGCCCGAAAGAATGATCAATTGAGAGGCGACCCTACCTATATGAATGGTCTATTATTAGGCGACCCTCCTCGAAAGAATGGTCAATTGAAAGGCGACCCTACTCGTATCAATGGTCTATTATTAGGCCACCCTACCCGAAAGAATGGTCTATTGTAAGGTGACCCTATCTAAATAATCGGTCTATTACTAGGCGACCCGGCCTAAGATGATGGTCAATTGAGAGGCGACCCTACTCGAATTAATAGTTAACCGTGAGGCGACCCTACCTAAATAGATGATCTATTAATAAACGATCCTCGCTTGAAAGAATGGTCAACCGAGAGGTGACCCTACCCGAATGACTAGTCTATTATTAGGCGACCCTACCTAAAAGAATGGTCAATTGAGAGGCGACCTTACTCGAATGAATGGTCTATTATTATGCGACCCTCGCTCGAAAGAATGGTCAATTGAGAGGTGACCCTACCTGAATGAATGATCTATTGTGAGGTGACCCTACCTAAACGGATGATCTATTATTAGGCGATCTCGCCCGACATGATGTGTGGAGAAATGTGACCCTCCTTTTTTGAATTTCGAGTTTGATTGAATGTTCTGTTTTTTTTAGTTGAAATTGACAACAATCTTACTTGAGAGAAACATAGGTTGTCCTGCCTTGTCGATACTCAATCCCCCATTTGCCTCATTTTAGAAATCTGTACCAAACTCGTATCTCGCGAGTACTTTCAAAATTTCCTTGCCACCGGGGCTTGGATCACTATTCATGGAGAACTTGAGTCTCTCTCTCTCTCTATTTTTTTTAACCAATTGGTCTTTTTTGGAAAGTGATAAACCACTATATGTTTTAATCCATCCTTATAAAACTATACTTGATTGCTTTGACCACTTGCCAAATTTTGACCGAGTTATTATCCTCCCTTAGGGTTGCTCTTTACCCCTAGCTTGATCGCTTTGATTGCTTTGATTTGAGCACAAAAGCATACTATTTCGACCTTTATTCCTCTAGTTAGCATAGTGATATCATTGTCCGACAAGTTATTGAACTCAATTAGAGTTTCTAGCCTTTTGATTTTGCCCCCTAGTATTCTCAATGAAATGCCATTTAGTCGGGCTTACGAAATGCCCCTAAGTGTTAGTCGAGATCGGACACTTATCATTTTCTTGACATAATCACTCGCTTGTGCTTATTTCTTAATGCTTGCATCACAATTTACAAATTGATTTAAAATTTTTTTTTGTCAACTTTTGAAAAAAATCATAGACATTTGGCTCTTATGGATCAAGTCGTATATTTAAATGATTCTCTTAAAATAATTCGGATTATTTGAACGAAAAGTAGAGATGTTTCGATGAAAGTACTTTCATTCATGAAAATATTTAAATTTATTGATCAAAAGTCAAATCATGATATTCAAATGCTATGATGTAATTTCTTTAAGAAAGTTAGGCTAAGCAAGCAAAAAAAAAAAAAGTGTTTGGGTCATGTAAAGTTTGCATAAAAGTTGCATTTGAGGCATTTAAAGGTAATTGGTCTAAGATAAGTTCATTTTGGGTAAATGAAAAAGTTTTAAGTAGAAAGTATTTGGAAAAATAAGTGGTTTTGAAGGATAATTTTACCTTAGAATATATTGATTCCGTTTATTTTCCCCCATGGTTTGTTGATGAAGACTCATAATTCAATGTCATAAAAAATGAAAAACAACATATCGACTGATCATATTTTCTTTTTCTCAATCATCATTTTATGTCTTTTTTTTTATAGATTAGAATCCAACAACCTAAGTAAACTATCTTTGATTAGAAAGGACTTGCACATAATGCAAGCTATGACATTAGGTTTATGAAAGAAGGATATAAAGGCTCAAAACATGTTTGAAGGTTTTTTTGACATAGAATCACTTTATTGTTCATGAAAATCTCTTTAGGTCGCATCGCTTAGAATTTATCACTTTAGCCGTTAGTTGGGTTGCTATGTCCTTGAGAAAATTTTTCTAGGCTTGCCACATGGATTTTTTCATTTTGATCTGTTGACTTTGTTTTCTAGCCTCAACTCTCTTCGTCTATTTGTTGAATTTTGACTCCCATCTTGACTTATAATTTTGCCCCCTCTATTACCCTTAGGCGTTCTTCTAATGCCATGAGTCCGTCCATACTTGGACCTTCGACTGCTCTATAACCATGAGTTTCTTCTTTTACAAGATCTACGGGGGTATATGTGGTATTTGTGGGACTCGTAGGTCCATGGGATAAGCAAATGCCCTAGTAGGATGTAAGCCATCGGCTCGAAAAGTTGCTTGATTGGAATTCCTTGATTGATTGGGCGGTGGAACAACATGAGGTACTTCGGGTTGTTCCCGTCCTTGATTCAAGCCACCTTCCCCTCTTAAGGCTTGTTCTAATAGGGATGTCATTCGAGCCACTCTCTTTCAACGAGTCAAACTCTTACCGATCGATTACTTTCTATCATGGTCTTTCTTCATTTTCCATTTAATGAGTTCGAAGTCAAGTATTATAGATGCGCGGAGGGGATTGAGTGGAGCGACCTATGTTTACTTCACTCGAAAATGCAAAAGAAATATATACAAATAAATAATTAATGCAAATGCATGATTTTGAACTGGTTGAATACCTTTCTTTATTTTGTTGCACATTAAATCATGACGGAATCCTGTCGAGGATGGGTTAGACCAAACTAGTACTCGTTGAGGGTAAAATTACTCCACGGATACTTGGGCAATTAGGGAGATATGTATACCTCCAATTTCAGTAGTGACTTGGTTTTGGAATGATGAAATCACTCTTATTATAAGCACACGAAGGGCGAAACTTTTTTTTGCACGAGTCTCGACACGAAATTCAAAAAATGAACATGCCATGAGAAAATAGAATGCGAGAAAATAAATTACAAGAATGTAAATATATACAAAAAAAATGAATTCAGAAAATAAAATGACAACTAATAATAATAATAATAATAAACATAGGAGATAAATTAAAAAATAAACCTATGGCCTAACTCTAGTCCCAATGGAGTCGCCATTCTATCGCTACACGACGTCGAATAGGACTCCCCAAAGAAATTAAATCTAAAATTAGATTGGTATTTACAAGTTTATTTACGAGTTTGGAGTCCCCACCTAGTATTGAAGTAACTAGGAACCTAAAACGGACACTCGGTTCGGAGATTCTATGGTAAGGAGTTGGTTACGCTTTTGGGAAGATATCGATCACCCAAAAGCGCCCTTTCCGAAGAAAGGTACCACGTCCGGTTTAGCTCTAAATTTATCTTCTAAAATATTTTATTTACATCAAATTATTTTTTGATTTTTAAACTTTTATTTTTTAAGACAAATTGAATTTTTTAATTTTGAGCGTGGCATCGTATTAAAATGATCGTTGGTCCCCTTCGTCGGGCGACACGTCGATTCAAATATCGGATCCACTTTAAGCCTTGACACAATCGGTGTGTCGGAAGACATTTTGATTAAACAAATTCTTTTTGGTGACGTCGGTCCCTATCGGATAGGAGACTTCATAAAAAAAAAAAATTTAGACATTCTTTTTGGTGACGTCGGTCTCTATCGGATAGGAGACTTCGTCAAAAAAATATATTTTTTATTTTTTATTTTTTAAAAAAATTAAAATTTTAATTAACTAAAATCAACTAAAACGAATTTTAAAAAATTAAATATATCGAAATCATCGTCCGTCCCTAATAAATAGGAGACTCGTTGATCCAATATTTTAATCATAAAAAGAATCTCATGTTAAAATAAATTTCAAAACTATATATCTTCAAATTTTCTAACATACATATGTTAAAAAAAAACATAAAATAAATCAAACGAGTCCAAAATTCACCTATATTGTAAAATTACAAAAATGCCCCTAGAATGCCAAGAGTCACCGCCAAGTGACTCGTTTGCCTTTCGGTGACCGTTCGAGTGCGTGGACCACCTAGTCTTGTAGAGCCGGTCATGGCGACCCCAATAGTGGTGGTTTCAACCATAGACAACATCGAAGGAGGGAGATCGGAGCCTCTAAAGATCCGATCGGATCTTCTTTCTTCACCGGAGATGAATTTGACCTCGTCTTGGGATTCCAAGCACACCGGTCGACTCGCAAGGTTGAGAGAAGAAGTTCCGTGGTGGTTAGGACCTTCAATTCTTCCTACATGGGCCAATTTTTCGAGTTTACCAAAACGGGTTACAAATGGATCTTTTTCAATTTAACCGTTTTTTGATGTTGTTGGGTGGCGATTGTTGAATGCAAACACTCGGGGAGATAGGCAATCAAGTCCGTGGTGGTAAATCATGTGTTAGTGATCGGATTTGAGAGAAACGATCGGGTATTGTTTCGAGTCGTGTCGTGGACCTTTGATCTTCAATTTCTCTCTCCTTCGTGATTATTTCTCTCTCTAATCGGTGTCGATGGACCGATCTCGTGATGGGCTATACGTGGCTGTGGTGGTTAGAGTAAAAAATGATCGGAAAACGATCATATTGAGAGTGAAAATTTCGATCGGGTGAACGGGTAATCGATTTGGATATTGGGTTAGGGCGTATTTGGTAATTTGTTTTTCGATTTTCAGTATATATTTTTTGTGATTTGTGTGTGTTTTTTTTAGCTCCCTAGCTGTGTTTTTTATTTTTTGGTCGTCCCCCATCCTGCAAATTGGAATCCGAAAGCTTTTTATAGGCCGAAACCTCCTAAAATCTCTTTCAAAATCAATTCAAATTCAAATTTTAATTGTCAAATCTTAATGACTTTAGGGAGATTTAATATATATATATATATATATATATATATATATTTAAGGTAACCCAAAATTGGGTTATGACAACAATCATTGACCTACCTATGGAAGAAGACGTTGTTGGGGAAAAAAAAGGCTTTGATACCATGTAAACTATTGAAGCTTTTAATGTTATTTATTGTATTGATGTAAACATATTTATAAGAGTAATAGATATTCTAATAAGTCCTTGTAACAATATAGGATAAATACAATACTGTTTGAAAGTTTAACAAGAGATTAATCAATTCTAACAAACCTAACAAGCAACACATGTCAACTATCTAACTCTATACTACAAAATAATGAGATGAAGTTCTAGATATTAGAAATCCATTGGTAAGCTATTTTCTCCATTAAAATAAGGCAAAATAACTTCTTTTTTACCGTTTGTATTTGTGGCTATTAGTTGTTTTATTTCCTACATTTTAAATTTGTTTACTTTATAATGGATAAATATTGGTCAATTAACCTGCACTCCTCACATATTTACTTTGACAGAGCGACATTCAAACAATAAAAGGGCTGAACATGGATGCTTTCAGATTCTCTATCTCTTGGTCTAGAGTAATTCCCCGTAAGTATTTGTGGGGAATAAGAACAGTGCATTTGCGTTCATTTGTTTATGTATTTATAATTTCTTACTTATAGTTCTCTAACAAGAAGAAACAATCTTAAAACAATCTTATTATATTCAGATGGGAGAATAAGGGCTGGAGTGAATAGAGAAGGAATTGAGTTTTATAACAAGGTCATCAATGCAAGCATAGCAAAAGGTTTACATCTCTCTCCTTAGATTTTTTTTTTTTTTTGTTAGTCATGTGTTCGATCTGCTTGAATCTTAAATACTAATAATAAATACATAAATAAATAAATGTAAATAAATAAATAAATAAAAATTGTTAAGAAATCTGGATCCAAGGGAATTAAAAAATAATAATTTGTTTGGTTAAAAGAATTGAATATTTGTACCAACTACTTTAGAACTTCTAGATTTGATAATTGCCTTTTTTTTTTTTTTTGGAAAATAAGAAACAAAAATACAAGGAATAAAAAGTTAAATAATAATTTACCTTTTTTCTTTTCTTTTTTTTTTAAATAAAAAATTCTAATTTGATTGGAGCAAGAGAAGACATTATCTAAAATTTGGACCCTCTCTCATTTTATATATCGTACAACACACAGGATGGAAGCCTTTTGTGACTATCTTTCACTGGGATACCCCTCAAGCACTCGAAGACAAATATGGTAGCTTTCTAAGTGATAATATTAGGTAAGTTGTCTGTTCTCACCTTGTCGTAACATTTTGTGTATTATTACCCAAACAAATAAATAACATATTATAACATATAATTTTTTTCTTCTTATTTATAGGAGCGATTTTCGAGATTTTGCTGATCTTTGCTTCAAGAAGTTTGGAGACCGAGTGAAGCATTGGATTACTTTACATGAGCCACATATGTTCACTAGATCTGGCTATGATTCAGGTGACTTTGCACCAGGTCGATGCTCCCAATGGATTAATGAAACATACTGCAAAAATGGAGACTCTGCCACTGAGCCTTACCTAGTTGCCCATCATCTTCTCCTTTCTCATGCAGCAGCAATACAATTATATAGGGAAAAATACCAAGTATCTGTAGTTAGAAAATTAATGGTTAATTCTGGTAATATGAATGACTTGTTTTGTTTATTAACGATGTAGGCATCTCAGAATGGCCAGATCGGGATAACACTCGATGCTGGTTGGTATGAACCTTACTCTAACAGCACAGCTGATATTGATGCTATCAAAAGAACTCATGATTTTGGTCTTGGTTGGTACGTATTTCGGCAAATATAAGCTCCTAAACCTTTAATTTTTTCATTAATTACTTCAATATAATCATACAGTAGAATTTTTACTCCATTTCATTTTTGTAGGTTCATGAATCCCATAACATATCGTGACTATCCGAGCAGCATGAGGGAATTGGTTCACGATAGATTACCAAATTTCACTCCAGAGGATTCTACGTCTCTAAAAGGATCTTTTGACTTTATTGGATTAAATTACTATAATACATATTATGCAAAAAATACTAATGCTTCCGATCCAGAGCATCGTAGATATCTAACAGATTCTAATTCCTTCATCACAGGTAAGCTCATAAAATATTATAATAATATTTAAATAAGAGAGAACGAGAAAGGAAAAGAGGAAAGAACGCCATGGACCGAAGTGCTAAAAATTGTTGTGTAATGGCCACTTAGATTAATTCCACAAATTCTATAAATACCATACGGCCTCCTATAGCGAGGTTAACTGACTATATATTTTTTCATCTGAGTGGCTTATCTGACAATTTCTAATGCTCAAGTGGCAGTATAGGTTTTTCGGATTAGATCTTCACTTTTTAGTGGAATACCAACAAAATAAAATACTTGTTATAAGATCTTGAAATAAGAGATATCATAAGACTGTCGGTAGACTAATAAAAATAATGTTTGTGATTTATTAGGTCAAAAGTTAGATTCTCACATTTGGAAAGTTACTCCCTTTACTTTGTACAGTATTAAACATGAACTACTAGTAGGATCAAATCAAAAATTAAGTGTGATTCAACATTGAAAGAATATTAAATTTACTTTTGATTAACAGAAATATCAATAAAAAATATCTTATTAATTGCAAATATTAAAAAGAAAAAAACAAAACAAAATAAAACAAAAGTCTTGAAGTAAGAAAAGTCTTAGCCACCAATGGGAGTAACGCTCTCGTTCCGGAAAAAATTTACGAGTTCAATTCTTAATAAAATAAAATAAATAAATAAGTAATTAAAAATAAAAAATCACCCTCAATTCTTATGTACTGAAAAAAGAAAAAGTGGGAAGTCTTGGTTAGGGTATTAAAGTTAAACAATTTTTACTTTGGATAACATTTTGCTTCAAAAATGATCTCCCAAGGGTGATGGTTAAATTTAACCCTTTTTATTTGTTAATAATTTTCAGGAGAACGAGATGGAGTCCCTGTTGGTCCACAGGTTTGTATGCAAATAATATGTAATTTAAAACAAATGTTTTTTGATAAGTGTTAATTATGTTCGCCATCCTCTATTTTGGGTGTTATTTCACTTTGCACTCTCTATTTTCAAAATCTTATATTTTTCATTTATTAGGTTCTTTTTGTCATTTCACGTATCTAAACCTAACAAATGTTTTAGATAAGTGCAATACTCTCCAACTTTTTTTAAAAAAAAACAAGTGTATTTTCAGATTTTTTAAAATTTTCGGACAGAAATGTTAACTCCATTAATCTTACGATGGCAACAGTAATTTTTCGAAATACAAGGTGAAAAGTCTAATGGCGTCCAAAACAGATGATTACAGAGGTGATTAATTCTTTAGATAACTGAAACTAAGAACTAATTTTATCATCATAAATTGCAGGCTGGTGCAACATGGCAGTATGTCTATCCAGAGGGGATGCAAAATATTTTGAATTACATCAATGTTACATACCAGCATCCATTGTGACCATCTCATGAATATTCGAGCATCTATCTGAATTTAATATTTACCCATTGCGTAATTATGTGATTTTATTTTCCAGTAGTTCTTTTCTTTTCTTTTAATAAACCAAAAAAGTGGGCTAACATTTGAACTAATTTTTTCAGGGATAATGGAGTTCAAGTCAAGGGTTACTTTGCATGGTCATTCGCCAACAGCTTTGAATTTAAAGATGGATATACAGTAGGATTTGGTTTGATCCTTACATCTAGTTTCAAAAGAGAGAAGAAGCTCTCATCAATCTGGTTTACTTCTTTCCTTGCGAAGAAGTTGGATGATCCACCGTTATATTTCAAGCGATTAAGAATAGCTTGAATATGGATGAAAAAATAATTATATAAAAATTAAAAATTTTAAATCCAAATTAAAAAAATATATTTAACGTAATTTTTAGTAAAACTTTTGATTCAATTCTCTTTTCTAATCCTTCCTTGGTTATCTTTTATCTACATTTGACATGTTTATTTATTCGAAAAATTATTAAATATGTCAAAAATTATATTCAATCTCTAATAAAAACATATGATTCACTATAAGATAATTTATGAGCATCACTATTATTTGAAAGAGGAGAATACAATTCTTAATGTACCGAATAATTCGTTCTTTCTTCTAGTTATGTAAGCCAAATGCGCCTCAACGCTCTTTTCAATAACAATTAATTTAGCAACAATTACACCATAAAACACATATAACCAAGTTAGTAAAAATGGAGGAGAATATTCTCACTCCGACCAAGTTATTTGTCGCTATCCAACATTTAGGAGACTTCTAAATATTATTAAAATTATTATTTTTTTATTTTGATTTTGATTATTTATTGAGATGTGAGTTAATTATATTTTACAGACTGCCACCTAATATTAAACGAATTAAAAAACCTAAAAAAAGATATTGATTCAAAAATTTTAGAATAAAAAGTTGATTATGTTTTTGAAAAGATATCAACCACCTAAAAAAATACTTTCCAAGAAAAAGTAATGTCTCGGTCTAATCCTAAAAGTTTATCTCCAAAAAAATTCAATTTTACCAAATTATTTCTAAATCAATTTTCAAGTTTATTACCTATGTCAAATTAATTTTTTTATTTTTTGTTTGTGGCATCATATTAAATCGATCGTCGGATTCCATCATAAAAAATTTCATCAATTCAACGTTGGATTCGAGTTTAAGTCTCGATATAAATAGTATGTCGGAGAACAATATAATTACTAAGGTGATTGATTTGAATTGATTAATAAAATCAATCCTTATTATATAGAAGACTTGTTATGTAATACTCAAATTTAATTTCTATGTTTTATGCGAATATTTACTTTGGGAATTATGTTCATGTCATGCTTGAATTATTGATGATACATGTTTTGTTTGCAAAATTAAATATTTATTAAGCATTATGTGTGAATAGTGAATTAATTGACAAATGAAAGACTATAAACATAGTTTAATTAAATGATTTTCATATATGTGTAACTTAGAATTAAAATGTAGTTACTAACCTAAACATGTATTAATCTATGAAATAATATCCTAATTAGGTGTTCTACCTAAATTAAATTGTCTAAATGTAAAATAACCACCTTAGGATATGTAGCTCATTAAGAGTATTTTGGACTAAAAAAATTAGATCAAGAGTGGGAAATAAGAGGGGGAAAATGTCACTTGAGCTTTCACTCTTCCACCACCTATCTTTGAGAGAAACTTGAATACTAAAGGAGAAAAACAGCAAGAGAGACCAAATCACAAGAGAGAAAGCAAGAGAGAATCAAAATTTATCAAGGAAAGAAGCTAAAATTGTTCAAAGAAAGTAAGCTTGGACCAAAAAGAGGACCAACATTTATCCTAATTAATTTATTTGTTAATTTTTCTATGCTTGATGAATATTTTATTAGCTTCTCTATGCGTGAATAGTGGCTTTTTATGCAAAATAATTATTTTGAGTGCCTAATAAGTGCATAAAAATTATATGATTGATGATAAATTATTATCGAAAGTGCATGAATTTATTATGAAAAGAAATTATTTTTTTAATGTGTGTAGAATTAATTATGCACATATGGATTTAATTGAATAAGAATTAAGGACTTAATTATACAAAATTAAAAGTTTTGGCCCTCAAATAAATTTTGAAGTAAATTTTGGGGTGCATAAAAATATTTGGAAAGCCTAAGAGAAGGATAAAAAATAGTCAATTACAAATTTCAAGGACTAAAATGTGGGGACTAAAATAAAATAATGTGGCAAAATGAGGGACCAAAATAAATTTTTTTGGTCAAAAATTTCTTCGCTAGTCAGTCACTTCATCTCTTATTTAATGAATGTAATTATGCAATTTAAAAAAAAATCTCATCTTTAGGTACAAATGGATGGTTAGGACCAAAAGAAAAATTAATGATGGAGATGAAAACGAATGAAAGACCAAGATGAGAGTTAAACCAAGAAAAGTTCATCATTTTGCTTATAAATTCAGCTTATAGGAGGAGAAAAAATGGTGAAAAAGTAGGAAAAAGCAAGCCAAACTTGGCTATTGGATATTGCTTGTTGTTAAGAGAAATTAGAAAGGCCCTCACTCTATTGCTCGATACATTCACAACTACTAACAAAGTATATAGTCTATTTTTTCATCATCGAATTTGACTACCTTAATTTCAAATGGCATAATTTTTTTGTTAGGAAAATCAAACTCTAACAACTTGTAGTCATCGATAGTGTTGTATGCTAGGTGATTAGCAATTATGCTACCTTTTACCGACTTTCTTGTCATGTAGAAGAAATCATACTCAACTAATAGCACTTGCAATCTCACAATCCTACTTGATAGACATGGCTTCTTAAGGATATACTTGAGAGAATCTATTTTTAAGATCATTCATATTGTGTAATACAACATATATTATAATACAACATTTATCGTTTGAGCTATCCGATGTTCTACACTAAACTATAACATATATTTTCAAGCATACTATATCAAAATTCATAATCCATGAATTTCTTGCTCATATAATAGCTTGCTTGCTTTTTTCTTCTAGTATCATCATGTTAGCCTAGAATGCAAACTATGGCTGAATCGGTGATTGTCATATATATAATCAATAGCCAATCAAGCACGGGTGGAACCAATAGATAAAGGTTTTATAGGTATTGTTTAATCTTATCAAATGTTGATTGGCAAGCATCATCCCAAATTCTTGGATTTCTTTTCCTTAACGATCGAAAAATGGGCTCATAGGTAATTGTAAGTTGAGAGATGAATCGAGCTATGCAATTTATGTGGCCTAACAAACCTCCGACCCTTTTTTCATTATTGGGTGTTGGCATTGCCTAGATGGCTTTAAATTTTTCAACATCCACTTCTATGCCTTTTTACTCACAACAAACCCCAATATCTTTTCCGACTTGACCCCAAATATATTGTTGGTCGGATTCAACTTCAGTCGATACCTCTTTAGTTGGTTAAATAACTTTCTTCAAAGTCTAAATGTGATTATTATCGAGTTTTTCTTTTGGTGATCATGTCATCCATATACATCTCGATTTTCTTATATCATATCATGGAAGAGAATAATCATAGCCCGTTGATATGTTATGCTAGTAGTTTTCAACCAAATTGTATGGCCTTGTAGTAATATGTCTCCCATGGTATGATGAAAGAGGTCTTTTCCACATCTTCTTTGACCATCTTAATCTAATTATACCCTAAGAATCCATTCATGGAGTAAGTAGAGTTCTTTGTAGTTTTATCTACCAACATGTCATTATATGATAGTGAGAAATTGTTTTTAAGGCTGGTTTTTTTTTTTGAAATTGAGGAAGTTAACACACATTTTGATCTTTTTATTCTTCTTTTCTACTATCATAATGTTAGACATCCAAGCCAAATACTCGATCATCTTTAGAAGCCTTGCCTCAAACTATTCAATGACTTCTTCCTTAACTTTCAATATGATATCCGACCTCATTCTTCTCGGCTTTTTCTTTATAAGTTTGTGACCAATAATAATGGAAGCTTGTGCATGATGAGTGCATAATTAACATTATTTTTAGGCTCTATTACAATGAACTTTCTAGTATTTACTATATTATATTTAGTTAATTAAGATCAAGATGATAGCTTTGGATTTTGTAGAAAAAATGTTGAATTGAAGAAAAAGAACCCTAAACCAAAGTAAGGCGAAGAAAATTCATCAAAAAGGCTTAGAAAAGTCACACGGTCGTGTCTTTTACAAAAGAAAATAGCTACTAGTCGTGTGACATTAAGAAAGAAACCGAATGGCGTATCCAAGCAAAAAGCACCACACGGGCGAAGCCTTCTACATGGCTTGAGCATGAAATTCAACATGCCCATGTATGTGTCAAGTAGAAGATACATTCCCGGAGAAAAAACAACACATGGGCGAGAAGACTTTAACATGCGATGCAATAAAAATGACATGCTCTTGTGTATTCCAATAAAAAGAATGAAATAAGAAAGGCACATAGGTAAAATGAATTTACATGGCTTGATGGAAAAATTCTATAAGAGCATAATGAGGAGACATGAGAGAAGGTAAAAGGCATATGGTCGTGTGCCTCTATTCAAGCAAACCATGTAACACTTTCTATTCAAGGCTCCAAGTAGTGTGAAATAAAGAATGAGCCATGTGTCTTTACTAAGCAAATTGTATGAATATGTGACGCCGACACATATGTGATGTAACCTAATTCTTAGCTATAAATAATAATGTTAGAGTTTTATTTTAGGATTTCAACTTTCAGCGACCACTATAGATAGAAAAACTCTCATTTGTAACCCATTATGAATAATAAAACATCCATCTTGGTTGAATTAAGTTAAAACATTGGGTTAAATTGCTATGAGATTTTATTCTAAACTTATCTTATTTAAGTGTTTTATATTTTTTGTATGATTGCTTTATGGTTATATGATTAAATTGATTAGAGTGCATGTTAGTTTTTTAATCATC